TTTTATAGAATATAGACTTCTTGAGCGATCTAAAAAGCAAAATGAATACTTGGTACCCAGGGTACCGAAAAAGTGACACCAGAACTCCCTTTTTAGCCCTACTGCAATAGAATATCTCCTGATGTTGTTTTGCAATGTGCAAAAGGTGGAGAATGGTGCAATTATTGGAATATTATAGAGGAAACTCATAAAAGAAAAAAAAACCATACATGAGGATTTCCCTATATATATTAGAGCTATTGCAACAAAATATCAATCTACCACTGATGATTTAAAAACTGAAATAATGTGAATCGTTACAAAAGTAGTACTTGAACATAATCATACTATACTTAAGTTAAATGAAGTTGCAACTTTCTCTCATCACTGTGCCATGAATCTACATCAGAAAATTCTTTTACAGCAGTTGTATGATAGTAATGCATCTACTTGTATTATTATATCAGCTGTTAACAAAATTAATAATGGTGAAATAATTCTCTTAAAAGATATTGTAAATGAATGTGCTTGTATTAGACTTGCTTTAAATAAAGATTATAATAATAATTCTACTCAAACATTATTAAAACTTTTTGAAGAGTATAATTATGTAGTTGTGCCTTATAAAATGGCAAAAGAATATTTAACACATCTTTTCTTTTTTCATATTGAAGTTGCTAAGTGTGTTGGCAGGTGTTCAGAGGTTTTAATTGTAAACTCTATATATAAACCAAATATTTATAAATATCCTCTTGTTAGTACAGTTGGCATTAATAATATTAGTAATGAAAAAGGTGTACTAGCAACTTACCAAATCGCAATTGCTTTGATTAAAGATGAAAGTGAAATATCATATACATGGTTTCTTCAAACACTTCGTACCAAAATTTATGATGCTTATGGGTACTTACTAGATGTCTTTATGTCTGATAGAGATCAGGCATTAAGAAATGCTTCATCCAAAGTATTTCCAAAATCAGATAAAATGTTATGTGTTTGGCATCTTTTGGAATGAAACTTAAGAGCTAATTGTTGAAAACTTTTTAATAACAATGATGATTATGAAGCATTCAAGATAGAGGTTGAAGCTTTGCAGCTTACAGAAACTGAAAATAAGATTTCTCATTTTTTGGATGCAGTTAAAAAGGCTGCAAAAAAAGCAAACTCTTCTAAAAAAGTAGTATTATATATTCAAACATAGATGAAAGATTCAAGAATGTGAATATCTGTATATATTAAAAGATACTGCCACATGGGTATATCAACAACTGGATGTTCTGAATCCTCTCATGGTGATTTGAAAAGTGTATTTCATTATATTGAGCAAGCAATGTGTTCTCAACACCTAAAGGCAGCAATAAGTACTGGTTCTTACAAAGTAGTCATTGATTCATTTACTTTTTATAATCCTTAATTTAGTAAACTTATCAGAAATGTATTAACATGGGCAATTGAACATATAAAAAAAATATTACAAAAAAAACAAATCTCATACAAAAGTGCTAATAATTGCGAATGTTTAACTAAAATTAATTACAAGTTACCTTGCCAATATATGATTCTAATAAATAGCCCAATTCCTCTATTATTAATTAACAAGAGATGTCTTCTCAAGAGACCAGATATTATAGAACTTCCACTTTCTTCAAAGTTTACTATTGACTCTAAATTTTATAATTCTTTTATTAATGCTGAAGAGAAATTCCAGCAATTGCCAAATAATATTGCTAGAGCTGAGTTTATTACAAGAATTCATTAAGCAATAAATATACCATTATCTGAGCCAATTAAGCTACTACAAAAAGTAGTATCCAAATCAAATACTAAGCAAAGATTACTTCAAAATGAATGTCAAGATTTTGCTACAAAAAAAAAGAAAGACAATATCACAAAGCTTAAAGATGAAACTATTCAGTAACAGAATATATCTTTAAAACAAACTTTTACAACATCTCAATCTTCTGATTATAAGTTATATTAGGCAAATCTTCCAAAATATTTCAGCATATTTTAATGTAATAGAAGATGACAATTGTGGATTCCATACTGTTGCAATATCAATTGAAAAATCCGAAGAATATTGGCCTGAGGTTAGAAAGCTTATTTACAATAAGCTTTGTACTCATAAATCTCATTATATTCAGCTATTTTTGAAAAAAGAAAAGAAATATAATAAGATATTATTTACAACTCAATGGAATGCTAGTTCCTGTAATAGAGTCTATTGGATGTTAATACCATCTTTCAGACATATTATTGCTAATACATTTCAAAGGCCTGTTTATTATTTTAGTAAATATCTTTCTTTTACATTCCTTTCTGATAACACACTATTGAATTGAAATATGTCATTTTTCTTTATTTATATTCTTGAAAGATAGCACTTTATAGCTATTAAACTTAAGCCAAATATGAATATTAACTAATTATAAATAGTTGAGAAGACATATGTGATAAACATTGCAAGATGTAGAAAGTTTGTTTCTAGAAAAAATAGCCCAGTTTAAGAAGGAATATGAAGAACAAAAAAAAATATAGAATATGAAGTATAATTATACACTAATGAAAATTTTGTTACCAATATTAATTTTATAACGATAAAAAAATTACTACTTATTTTATACTTTTATATATAAATAAATTTAAACTTATTATATGTATAATACACATGAATAGTTACTATTAAAAGACAATGTCTTGTAATTATCTTTACTAACTTGCTTTGTATTTACTAAAATTAGTTAAATTAATATCTACATATATTGCATAAATAATTATCACATCACATGATATAGCTATATGTACAAAATCATATGATCTGGTATATGCCCGTAGATGTGCTGATTTATTCGTGAATAGTTATTTGTCTTGATTACATGTATAACACAAAACATGTAATGTATTACTTTTGATCATTCAAAATTAAGATCAAATAAGGTGTTTGTACAACACAAAATAACGCAAAAGTATTGTTTTTGATAGATCTGTGATCGCTTTTTTGATAGGTCTAAAATGTACCCCAAATTGATTTATGTTCGTGATGCGTTTATAGAATAAGCTATACTATTCAGATATAAATTTTAATGTTAAATCTTTTTTTTTTTTTTGATAGTCTTGTCGAAATCACTTTCTTAGTGATTATGACAACCGTAGTTATCATTTATTTCTCATTAATATAACCTGACTTCCCCTGGCTTGCATTTATGCCGCCCAGAAGTGACTTGTTGCACCGACCACTATAGTGGCCAGAAATCTTCACAGCCAATTTTCAGACTACTTGCGCCACGAGTTCATGTAGTATCTCGTAATATCAGACTTAGGCCTCACATTATATCTCGTGACTTTGGTTATTCCAAATCAGGATCCTGGCATAGCTTTCTTCACAGCCACAGCTTCTTGAAATAATTATTCCCTGAATATATCTATCCGTAGATATCCCGGGTTCCCTGTACCCTGCGGTGTTTCACTTCTATATTTGGTTTTTTATTATTTTGCCACTAGAAGGAATTGAACTAGCAACCTTACGATTTGCAACCTGGGAGCATAATCGCTATGCTATCGACCCACAGGTCATGTTAAATATTTTTTAATTAATAATGAAAATATAAACAATTAGTAAATTTTAAAGTTATTATCATTTAAAAACTTTTAAATAGTAAAACAACAAAATTTAAAAATAGATTAATATCTAACGTCACTCAATTTTTTATATTTGGCCATGGTAGATCTACAAAAATTAGCCAATAAGTTGAAATAACAAACAGGTTTATAATCCAGAATTGTTATTTTTAGGTTTGGTTTGTTTTGTGTAACAAAATATAATTTGCCAATTATCTCAAAATTCATGATTATCAAAATTCAGCGGTTTCTATTTTTGACCACTCATATCTTCACTCAAAGTTGAAGAAAATCTAAATGTCTATCTAAATTATTAACAATAGCTGCTACAACAAATTTGGACTGTTAGATTCTCAATTTTGATTGGCTAAGAGCAATGATCAAAAAATTAGGCCAGAATTACTCATAATTTTACTAATAAAATCATAGCTGCCTAAGAATATCTATTTTTGTAATAAAAAAATTAAAAAGTTAATTCTGGCCAGAATTTAGTAAACAATTTTGTAATGTGGGCCAAAATTTTGAAGATCCTT